TCACATACCCTTGCTTTTTTCTTGACTCTGCTGTAGCAAACGTGTGGTTTAAAGTTATTTTCACACTTCTAAATAATGAATTGATTGGTGTAGCACTATGTGTTTCAAAGAATTTGGAAAATGGTTTTGACTATAAATGTCAGTTTAGTTAAGTCTTTAAAACATATCCTTTGCCTTTTGCATATAAAGTCAATTCAGGTGTTTCCCAGACAGAAGTACTTTCTTGAAACAAAAAAGAAAAAAGATTAGTTTTAACCTGTCTTCTCTTTCTTATATAAGCCTGTATAAGCAGGTATAAGTGTAAATTTGAGGTGTTGGTATGGCTCTGCTTAGTCCTTTAGAGGAATTGAGCACTCAACGCTACTGAAACACTACTTAGAAGCATAAAAGATAACTGAAGGCAAGTAACAATCTGCTCTTAATTTGTGATACTGCACTCCATAGAAACATGTGAGTTCAAGTGTACCACCATGGAAACAAGCTAGACCACTGTAAGGAGAGGCTGTCAAGCATTGGGAGCAAGGTTCTTCCCTTGCTCCCTCTTCCCATGCCTGTTCCTCTATCCCAGTCACACCCACTGTCCTCCCACCTGCCTTCTCCTTTCCTTCTCTAACTGAGCACCATCTGCTGCTTTCAGACGCCACCCATCTCCCAGCCCTGCTTTGGTCTTCCCAGACATCCTCTAGCTTCACACTATTACCTGGGCAACTGGTGGCTCTAAATGTGTGGAGAGGCCTAAAAGATCCTCTAGGGCCACAGGCAGTAGAGTAAGTCAGTGTCAATACCCTCCCTTGAGAGCTATGCTTCAGGAACCAGCCATGTCTGTGTACCCAACTGGAACAAACTTGGTTTGCTCTTCAGAGGAGTGTTCCTAATTATAAACCATCACACTCATGGTAAGACCATGTACTTATTATATATATATGTGTGTGTATATATATAAAAAATATATATAGTCATATACTTATATACACACATATATTTGTTAGTAAGGCAGATGGTATTTACTTGCTTATTTAAATTTAAATTCCATTATGGAACAAATATTAAGCACATTGGTAGGCTAGATATTGCTTACATTTGAATTTACTTTGGGGTTTAGGACTGTTTATCTATATATTTTGCCACAGATTTTAAATGACAAAAAGGGAAAACAGAAGCAGTAGATTAAATTGACACTTCTGAAACTCTGAAGTAGAATGCTTAGAAATTCATCACCAAAAAAGTAAACAAAGGTATACTTAAACCATAGCCATGAACCATTCTCACCATTTAAAAGAACTATTTCAAAAATACAAGTTACTTGTATAAACTTATAGTGAATTGAATAAATTGATAGATTTATTTTTCTTCCCTGCATATTCCAGTCAGACACACAGTTCATTAAGTATTTTAATGAACAAAAACCCCCAAATTATTTTTAATTCTTTCCTAATTTAATACAACTTGTGACTTCTTCTAGGACAGTACAGCCAAATGATGGGAAGACAATTAAAAAAGGAGTAGCAATTATAAAATAAGTGATTATGAATGCCTGAAAAAAATGTAGATCTCACTTTAGCACAGCATTTAAACCTAAGGGTACTTAATCAAGGCTTTAGGTCTACACTAAAATGACTGCAATTAAGAGTAGACTCACTCAGAACTAGTAAAGGCAGATATAAAATTAAGATGCTTGAGTGAAAATTTTTATTACTCATTCCTTAATTTTCTGATTATAATACAAAGCAAATTTCAACTGTTAACTCTTTTAGGATACTAGGCTACATGGTTTAAGGGACTGAATACTGACAACAAGACACGAGTTCCAATTCTAGCCTCAGCAGAGATACTGGCTCCTTCTACAGTCTTGAGCCCGTTACGTAATTTCTGAGACTTTCACTATTTATCTGTCCCATGGCATTATATCACACAGAGGTGTAAAAATATAAATATACATACGCACATAATTGATCAGCTAGATTACTTTGAAAGAGTAACCAAAAATGATTAACTTCTGTTATATTTACTTACCCTTTATTAAGTAACTGTCACACGATGTTAAAAGTAAATATAATTTACTAATTCATTGGAGTATTAAAGGAGAAAGCTGTCTTTCCCACCCACTCCTCTTCCTCTCCCACTTAATGGCCAGAGCTCTAGTCGGTACAGAGTCATGGGCAATTAACAGTCACCAGAATTTAAGAATTAGTTTCTCAGTGTTGCTTACGCAAAACAAAAAGCAAACCGCCCCTCCTGAATTACCTCATGTATACCTGCACAGTTAATTCCACCACAGAAAGAAGTAGTGTAACAGACATGGACTGAAGCATTCCCTCATGCCATTTAGAAATCTAATAGCCTGAAGTTACATTGTTCTGGTGAAGTGCTGTGAGAAGCTTGCAATATGCAGAGCTACACAAAGAACAGAATACCCTGAAGTCCTCAGTAAGTCACACAGAAACGTCAAGTTTAATGGGGTGGGAACGCAGTTGAAAGGGGAAAGAGTAGAAGTCCTGTAATATCAAAGAAACTAGCAGCCGTGAGATTACCACACACACCATTCATGCTCTGTGCTGGTAGAAGACTATCCATCTATTATGATCTTTTATCATAAAGAATCAGAGCTTCACAAAACAGCTTCAGCAGCAATGATAAGATGAAATCTGTTTAGTTTCTAGTATCAAAACAACTAGAAATGAAACACCACCTGTTCTTGCCCAAACCCAGCAGCCTCTCTCTCATCAGACAGGTATTTAAAAAGCTTTCCACTCTCTATCAAATGGCTTCCACTCAGTTTGGTGTTTCAGGCCTGAAGATAGACACACACACACACAAACCAACACACCTTATCTCCCTTAATCTCCCTTTCCCCATATCTTACACAATTATTTAGAAGGATAGCATAAGCTTGCTGTTCCCTTTTCTTCATAAATCCTTCCTGAGTTAGTAAAAAGATCAACAAAGAACCCTGACAAAAAAATTCTTGGCTACAAGAGATGATGTATCGAATCAGCAAACCAGGCAGTCAATCTCATACAAAATTGCGTACGGTCAAGAGATTTTTCAGGTATTTGCATATGCAGTTCTCAGTATGTGGGACTTTGGAATCCATTTCACGATTCATTAACATCATCCATATAAAGTTCTCAAAGTGTTTTTAATTACCTTAGTTCATAATTTCCCTAAAAGGCATGTGACATTTTCCCTATTTTGCAAGTAAGTGCATTCAGAGCAGAACTCGCCCTACATAACATGGGACCTACACCTCAGCTTGTAGCTTGAGTATCCCTTCATATTCAAGATTTATGTCTATTCAACATAGGCCAAAGAGTTTAAGGCATAATTCATGTGATCAAATGCAGACATAGTCTTTAGGAGAAGATAAATTCCCCAGACTCCCACAGCAGTACTGCATAACTCTCCAAGGAGAAGAAGTGGAGCCTGTTGTGGAGACATCCATACCTATTCAGATGAGAGCCACTTCTGTTCACATTCACATGATGCATTGCTGCCATTATAACACAAGCAACATCTACTCCTCCACCACAAACCTCTGATCTTTACATCTGTACCTTAACTATTAAACTGTCATGGTTTACTGAATTAGGATGGATGTTGTTTTATGTATGCCAGCAACTTGCCAGACAGCCTTTCCCATTTATTTGTTCGCTTCTTTGTGCTTCTGTTTCCATTTTCTCTTCTCTAAGTTGTTTTCAGGTGGGCAGCACTTACCAAGTGTCCCCTTGCCAAGCATTACTACACAACCTAGCATAATTCTGATCCATTTTGAGGATCAGTGCATATTAGCATAATGAAAACAAGTAGATACCAGTACTGAACAATCCTGTTCCAGCTAAATAAAACAAACTTTCATGCCCAGACAAGATTAGAAATTAGAATCTTTTCCTCTGCTCAAGCTCTCAAATATACCTAACTGAACCTGAAGAAAAATATATTATTTTTGTTAATGCTAGTTGGTATTAAAATCTAACTGTCCAGATGCATAATATGCCTAGTTTTTATCTCTAAATCTATCCTCCTGATTTGGCCCTTTATAATGATGAGAAATAAATGTTCCCAACAAACCTTGGATACAATCTCTGCAAGAAAAAATGTCACACAAATCACACTGTGTTTTTTAAATGAGAGATGTTATTTCATCTTCACAGCACTATGCATACAATAGAGGGACAGTAGAGAGAGTTAAACACTTACAGAAGGCAATTTGGACCTCGTATTGAGCTGAACTACTTTGCAAGTAATTCTGTCTCTAGTCACTTTGAAGATGACTACTTATCTTCATCCTTTATGCCGGGAATAAAAGCATGGCTCAATTAGCAGTCTCCGGTCAGGTGACCTGAATCTCTCTCCTTCTTTAACAGGGATTAATGTCTCCCTGTGTTAACAAGGACTTGCTGCCCTTCAGCAGTGTATGTTTTTTGCGTACCCTCCCCTCCTACATTGTTTTTTTTTGTCAATGCCATGGAAGACTGATAATCAAAGAAAATACAAGAATGATCTGTAAAATATACTATTGTTCAGTTAGAAAGTTGAGAAACATATTACAGAATATACAGAATAGGGCAATAGCTTTTGGTCACCAGCAGGAAACTGGAGCATTGCTTTATGTGAGCATGTAAATACAGATATCCATAAACTACATACTTGCCACTGCATTTCTCTATTTAAAAACAAAGACACCAGACAAGGGTTTAGGCTTTGAATCTTCTCTTCCTTGCCACAGAAACCAATATAATAAAAAGCACTGTCCCTGTTATGGTGGTTTGGGAGAAAAAAAAAAAAAAGGACAGAGAAAAAGAGAAACCAAAATAGACGATATTTCTGAAATTGCATAATGATACTATGTCTGGTTTTGGTGCTTTGAGCTCTTTTCTGTGTGGTGAGAAAGAAATGATTCCTTACAACCACAGTAATAAAAGCAGCTATCATACTTCTAGATTACTTCAGCACTATAATAACTCTCAAACCTTAGATAAGTATAGAGAAATAAAACTTACCTTAAAAATCAAATCCTTTTTCCCATAACGAAGCTCTTTCAGCTGGGCTTGGATCTTTTTTGACTGAAAATGAGAAACATAAAATCATACTTTTAAGGTCAGAAAAAAAGATAGCAAGTTCTGAAAACAGCAGAAATCAGCTTTAAAATGCAGAAAAATAACCAAAACCAACTGCTTTTTCAGGGTAGCAGGTCTAAACCAGGCAAAAGTGTCAAGAGAAATGTAAAATGGCACTCACCTAAAGCTCATACATGTGTTTGGACTACTGTGAATAGCTATGTGGATTACACATTTTCAACATGAGATGTTATTAATACTTTCCATGAAGCATAACTGAAGGCATCACTTTCAAAGTAAACAAGAGGGAAAAAGGTTCCATAGCATTGCACACGTTCTTTGTAATGACCAGGAACTTCCAGATGGTATCCAAAAGAACTAGGTTCTCAGTTTGTGACCATGTGCTCTAAAATAGGCATAGTTATGCTGATTTATATCAGTTTAGGATGATATTTATTTTAAATACTGTTACATTTATTCTTAAAATAATGATTTATACATTCTTTTACGTATTTATACAAAACAACACAGAAATAGGGCTTTTTTACACTATACCCAAATATCCAAGGAGCATTATTTCATCCTTTATCTACAAATCCTGTCAAAATAATAATATACTTTTTAAACAAAATCCAGAGTCTCAACTGATATTCAGTATGTTTTCTTTTATTAGTTAATGCCAAATATTTAGAGCTTCCTGGAATGGATTCCTCAATAAACATAGCATATTACAGAGAGCAGTATATGTTTCATAAATGAATTAGAGCTTTTGGGAAGATTTGATGTCTTTCCAATTGGTGCAGTCAAATTCAGTGACAGACTTCTGCGATGGCTGAACAGAATTTAAAGATAAAACTTTAGAACCCACTTCAAGTAGTTGAGAAGGAATGCCAAACTGGTTATCGCATTCCGTAAGATCCGAAACAAACAGCCAAGTTTAGTTCAGTTCGATTCTTACTTCTACAACTGTATTTGCTGTTATTTCATCTACAGAGCCATCTAGAAGTCATCTAGAGTTCAGCTAGCAGATACAATCAGTAGAGCTATGGAATATATTCCACATCAACTAAAGACCTCTGAGAAAACCTTACCCAACTTAAATTGTTCTAAGAGTTGTGCTTAAGAAAATATACAGTCTCTGTGACACAGCCAAAATGGCTATAGAGGGATCTAAGTGTTACAATTAAGGTATCACTCGTTTGCTCAATCACAAACCTGTGATGAAATTAAGAGTTACAGATCTAAATGTATTTAGTGTATAATTTAAGTGACTCAAAAGCACGCATGTGACCTGCCGTTCTTTGTGAAAAAATCTGGTTTAGGGGTTTTCTGCATTTCTAGGGGGAAGACTTAGAAAACTGACACCTTTTAGTGCAGTCAGTGGGATAAGGTCCTCATGAAACACAGGGCGATAGCAAACTCTAAACCAAAGCATCTGGGAGTATTTCCTCACACATATCCTTCTGTGTCCTGGAAAGCCTGAGGTTTGCACCACCCTCTCCAGGGCTCTGAATTCTCAGAGAAGAAAACCTAGCCCTGCCAGCTGTGCAGGAGCACAAGCATGCTCCCATCTATGCAGCTGGGCAGGGCTCATTACAACTGTTTGCATGCAGCCCCAGAGAGCAGAACAAACCAGGAGCTTCCTGGTAGGCAAATCTATTCATGAAGGCTATTTGATCTAATAACTAAAAGGATACTGATTTCACACAGTTGTTACGCATGGTGACTATACTACTTAATTAAATAGCAGAAAATACACTGTGTTCCTCTGGCTGACACCACCTAACTGGCAAAACAATGAGAGAAGGATGCTCCTGCAGTATCTTTGCTGGTTCTAATGGTGCTAACCTGCTTAAGAGTGACAAATGATGATTCATTTGATGGTCCATTGCCAGGATGATTCATAAAGCCTGAGACTCTGAAGGTTTAAAATACACTTACAATCCGCTGCCCTGAGGGTTAGGTAGCTTAGGTTTACTTTTCTGAAATTCTCTGACAGCCAGACTTGTCACACTACAGTAAATTTAATTTGAGGTTTTGCCCTTAGATTTGATGACATTTATGCAGCAAATATTGGAGACATAACCAGGCAAAAAACCTCCAAGTTAATCACCAAACATTGAAGACGTTATGCAGCTAGGAAAAACAAACTTGAAAAAAAGGGGGGAACAGAAAGCTACATTGCACACGCTGCCAATTTTTTAAGTAGTAAACAAGGGAAGGAAGTATGTTTGTAGCATGTACTGTGGCATGTTTGAAAGCAACAATGATGGGATAGGAAGATAACGTAGATTTTGACGAGCTACAAAAAAATACCCTAAACCCCTGTTATTTCCTACTATTGAGGATTGCTAAGTAACCGTGGCTGCAGATCTTCAGTTAGGCTAAATAGCTAATACAATAACTAGAAATCACTATTTTGACCTTATAGCATTGACTTTCAAGTTAAAAGGTAGACTCTGTAATGCAGAAAACACATTCAGTCATCATTATGAAAATTTTACCCAAGAAGTAAAGTGTTAAGTTTGTGTTTCATTCCGGCAAGGTGCAATGACTTTCACAGAAATTACAGATCCGAAAACCATGACTAAAGTCATGTACTCACGACATGTTTACTCATTAGTAAACCAGATTCGTATATAGTAGTATCTTCTTTCATGAAAAGTTAAATAGCTAAAGGGACTGCTCTCATGAATGCACTCACTGGTGGATTTATATATTAGCAAAAAAAGGACTTTTTGTATCATAGAATGTCTTTACTAGCTTGCTCCTCAGTAGAGAGAAAATTTCTTTCCCTTTTTTTCATGGTGACCCTTTTTCCTTGAAGTAATGAAACATTATAGGAATCAATAATAATAAATCTTTCCTGTCTCTTCATTAATTTCAAAATGCATTTAGCTATTCCTGTCTTAATCTAGGCATGGAGACCATGGAAAGGAAATCAGGTTTATATATGTTATAGGTGTATAATATACAGCTACAGAACTATATATACTTTTCGTTAGCATGACCAAACATTATTTTGTCTAAAACTTGACTTTGCAGCTTGTTAACACATTTCAGTTTCTTCTATTGAAGTCACAGAAATGAATTCAGATAAGAGCACTTTAGGAACACTCACTATACATGCAGAATACATAATCTATACTAGAACTTCAGTACAAAAGACTTTGATACAAGCTTCTTTTAGGTATGTTAGATTTAGAATAGAGAAGAACCTTCCTTACCTCTTCTGCATGAATACCACAAAGCTTGTTTCCTGATAAGAGCTTGGTTTTGAGGCTTTTGTTCTAAGAGGGAAAAAAAAAAATACAGTTTTATTACTGAGAGTTACTGAAATATTAAGGGACCAGTAAAACATACTGGTTTTATTTTATACATTGATAACACCTTTCAGTCACCAGCAAAGACACAGATAAGATACATGTATCATGGTACAATATCCTCTTTTACCGGATTCTATGATTCTATAACTTTGCAGTAAAACCTACTTTCAGGGGAACACCACTGCACATAGAAACCTAGCAATATAGCAACTGAAACAATTTAGATTGGATATGCTGAGGTAAAAAAGGAAAGAAAAACCCCTCTCGTTCTTTCCTGGTGTCAACTACATAACTCAATATAATTTTCAGTAAATCATTATATCAACTGAGTAATAGGGCCAAGATCTCACCAGTTGACCTTGATCACATTCATGGGGTCTTTTTGCTAAATATCCCATAGCATTTTTCCATCTCAACATGCTTTTTCATGTAGGAGTTTTAAATGTATTTCTTCTCATTTTCAGAGAAAAAAATAAACCTTGATACAATAAATTTTCAATAGTCTGGTAATTCTTCCTGCACTCCTCAATCATATTATTGCATAACTGACAGTGACACGTAAAGACTTCTCTTCAGTGAGAATATCTTTCAAAACTGTTCAGAAACATGAGTATTCAATAAGCAGATCTTCAATTGCTGGACATAATATACTGAACACTAAAAACAAATTAAAAGAACACCAAAACCAACCTCTCTCATATGCTACACTGCACTTCAGGAATAAGTAGTTATTGCTGAATAGCAGTAACTTTCTTGAACATTCTGCACAAGAACAAGCTGGCATTAGAGAAAAAAACGGTCATTCCATCCAGCTCAAATTGAGGTCCACATCCCACTGAAACTCTGGAAGCTTTATTTCCAAAATTAAAAGCTAGGAGGTTTTCTTGAAAAAAACCCTGTCTTATTAAAGCAAATGCAAAGAAACTAAAATTCCATTGAAACCTCCTTTGCACAATTCCAAAATAAAGAGAAGATACATCAAAATAAAAAGAACATCTTTTCAGATGTTTCAGTGTAACTATCTACTATGCACCAATACACACTGATGCAGAAACAATAAATCCTTTCCAGCTGTTTGACACAGGTACCCACAGTTCTTAATGCAGCAGAAAAGAACTGGGATGCTACTTTGAGGCAACCCAGATTCTACCTCAAGCATTTACAAAGGACTGAGTGTGTTTGGAGAGAGAAGAAATGTTGCTCTGCTAAGTCTCACACTCTTACTTTTTGTCTGCAATTTGAAAATGATGATGTAGCTCATCACAGAGCAGCACCTTATCGTATTAACCACTGTAGAAATACAGAACAAGACAACTGGCTCTGCACAAAGGGCATTAAGTAGCAGATACAAGATGAACAAAGATAAATCAAACAGAAACCAAAGAGATGAAGCACACCCAGCACAACTATTGCCCACCAGGGGTACATCTAAAGAGCTCTGTTGTACTGTGGTCACACAGTAGATGTGACCGGTTTCGCATAAAAGATCAGCATCACCTCTTGGGGTGATGGCCAAACACATGTGCCAAAGGCACTTTTTCATTAAAGAATTGCACTTAATTAATCCAGGAAGTCATGTCATCATGTTGTTCTGACCAACTACCTTAAGTATTCTCCTGTCCCCTTACAGCTTGGTGATGGTTGGTTTAGGTAAAAGACTCTACTCATATTTCAGATCCAAAGTAAGAATGAGCTGCAATCCTTGCATTTTTTACTCATTTATCTTCCTTTTGCCAAGCCCAAGCTGCTAGAAGAAATACTTCTATTGGTACATTAACAAGTAACTTCTACATGTGTTATTTTGAGAAGACGCTGCAGCACCCCAGAACACGAAGAACTGAATTCCTACCACCTCAACAGGACACAAATTTATTAGGTGGTTGCCACAATTTCCACATTTTGTGCCAAAGTAGCCTGGCAAAAGAATATAGTTAAAAGAATTCGTTCAGAACCAAAGCTTGATAAAAGTATTATAACTTAGGAGATGGACTCCATTTTGAAGGTTTAAGAGGATTTACCAATTCTGCTTCATTATCTATCCAGTCTATCAGCAACAAAACAAAAACCACAGTTACCAGAATGCAGGCAAAATAGTCATGATTTAATTAATCTTCACTTAACAAAGTGATAAATCAGAGCAAGCATTAAAGATTACAGTTATCGAGAGCATAGTAAGTAGGAGCTCGTCAGAGGTAGATGACGACTTCTTGCTTACAATTGGAGTGATTTAATATTATTTCAAAAGTCACATCAGTGTTAAAAATAGCTTTGCATCCTGATAAACAGTGGTAATTTTCTATAGCAAAATGTTAAATATACCAGTATAAACACATGAAGTGTAAGAGAGCCTGGCTTGATGGGAATTCCGAATTAAATGTGGAAAATGAAGTCTGATCAGATACATACTTTGTAAGTTTGCTAGAAAGGGACTACTAAAAACCAGATCAATCCATCAATGAAAATTTTAGGTTATAAACGTTTATTGAGTCATGACAGAATTCTGACTTCTAAGTTTTAGATAAGGGTTCAAGATGATGCTTCCTATTTTCCTACTAAGTATCCTTCAAAGAACAACAACAAAGAAGTTAAACTAACTAGAATTTTACAAAGTTTTTATTTCACATATTTCATTTCTTGATAAGTAGATTTATGGAAAAGATCTTTACATTTCAAGTTTAAAAAATAATAAAGTATAAAAGTTTAAGGAATGAATTAAGTATCTGTAAACATATCTTTAATAGCCTCTTAAAATTATACAGCATAATTATTTTAATTAGACATGGCCTTTTAGATTTAGAGAAAGGATACCATTATATTCAAACTAAATAGGTATTTTAATTTATTTTACTATCTCAGAAAACTTATAGCACAAACTGTTAGCTGGAGTGTTTGCATGCAAGCATAACATTCAGCCAAGTAACTGTAATAGCTTACGCTGAATTTACTAATTCTTTTAGCTCATTTTGTAGCAGTAGTTTCAGTGCACCCCTAAATTCAGGTGCAGCAAACTGCTGTCAGCAGTTGCCACATGGGCAAGAATCCTGTTGTCTCTTTCCATGCAGTCAGTTCTTACTGTCCTGGTACCCGCACTCAAGAAATATACCACATTGAAGTATAGTATCTATCCTGTGTCCTCAAAAAACATGAGAACTCTCAGTGACAACTAGTCAGATTTGTTAACATATTCCTCATAGGGCTTCCGTATTGAAAATAAAAAGCTTTTTTCCTCATTCCTAAACAGATTTTTCAGTTGGTGCCTGGGCAGGTTTTTTCCTTATGCTGACATAACATTCTCATTTTTTGTTTGGGTTCTGATATTATTCTGCTATTATTTTCAGTATGTGAGACCAGGCTTAACAGAAGCTGGATTCATTCTATGAATATCAACAGTAACCCTACATTTAGGTTGCCTAAAGATCTCCCACTGATATAAAAGCACATAGGAGAAGCTGTAGCATCATAGTTACTCTGCCATCATGCCTTTGGAACCTGCAAGAAAAAACCCACAACCTTGCTTGCTGGCTAGAGGCATACATATCCCTTTATATTCCTAACTTTGGAAAATAATCCTTCCATTTCTATCATTTGTTCTCCTGAATCAAAGGTCAGCAGCCGGCACCCATGTTTTTACAGAAGAAGCAATCCCTAACATGACGGACTGAGCATATCATCTCTCCAGAGAAGGCAGAGAGAAGGAAGTAAAATACAGAGGACTGTGCCTACCTTCACATTCTTACAAAACAATAGCCATGATGCAGAGTTCCTTTCTTTTCATGTTGTAAAATAATTTTACTAACTTTTAGCTCAGTAAAATTGAGGTCTCCTTCCCTCTCCTATCTCTTTCTCTCAACAGTATCAATGGATAATGGCTGAAAGGTGTGATAGGTGGTTTTTTAGTAGTTTTTTTTCTTTTTTTTTTTTACCTGCATCTCTGTCTCAGAAAACTCAGAAAGACTTAGAAAGAAAAGCACAAAATATAAACTTGAAAGTTCAATAGAAGCATTTTTACAGTTGTTTTAGTTCCTTCCTTTTCCGCAAACTCATTTTATTAAAATCATTAATTACATAGCTACATATTATATTTTTCATAATATCCTTTTTTTATTCAGCATGTACAATAAGCACCTTATGAAGCAAGAGTCACAGTTTATAGGCATTGTTAGGTGTGACAAACTACTCCTGCATCCAGTTTAAAGAGATTTATCATCACCGTAAATCTGAAGTTATGGAGATTAATGTTTAGCTGATGTATCATATATTCTCTAATGGAAAGGTCAAATTATGCCATGAAGTAAAATGCACAAATTTTCAGATATAATTTCTTGAGGTTAGGTTACCTTGACCTCTGGCCACAGAGATGAGTGCTTTAAATACTCTTCTGTTTATGTTTCATAATGTGAAACTCCAGTATTAGCTCTTTGAAACAGCATCAGGATGTCAACCCAGGATGAACAAACTATACAATGTACAAACAACAGTACAAAACAATTTTGCTTGCCTGCTAGTCTTTGAAAGCATGAGGACACAAGGTATGTTCAAGGAAAGAAAATCGCTTTCTCAGAAAATTATTCTCAGCAATCAACTTCAAGTCACACATTTATCTGAAGTCTGACAGAGGTTGTTTGTTGTATACAAGATAAATCTGGCTCTGCCTTGCCTTGATGAATAGCACAAATCCTACTATGCTGAGCCCCTGCTCATTACAGGAACATTTTTCTCTTATGGGCATCATATTAAAAACAAAACCAAAAAGTGAGCAGTAAAAAAACAAACCCAAGAACAACAAAACCTTGGCCTCTGCTCATCAAGAGTGCCAGGGCCAATTGCCAAGATGAACTGTTTTCTATCTCCTGTTAAACCAAAGTGGTTCACTGCACCTTTAGGAGGGAAATGAGAAGACAGTAACAGACCAAAATCAAATATCTGGAGTTATCTGATATCACCATGTATTGGTATCTATTTTG